CAGGACCCACTTGTAGCCGCCGCAGGATCAAACTCAGTTCACCTTTTGCCTCCTCTTCCTTCTCACTGGCGTTGCGCTGAGCTGGGCACCTACAGACGGACAAGATGAAACACACGCGCGCGTACTCACACACACACACACACACACACACACACACACACACACACACACACACACACACACACACACACGGTGCGCACTCGCTTAGTGCCCGCTTGGCTGCTAGGCTACTTCCTTTCCACTTTTTCTCCCTCCCGGTCCCGGACGCCCTCCTGCTTCAGGCACTCCTGCATGCGCCATAGTCCCCGAAGCGCAGCTCCTGGCCAGACTGACCGCTGGACTGGAGGCTCCAGAAGCCTCTGGACCAGTATCTAGAGTCCGAGGCTCCCATCCCGCAGGATCCCGCAGATCTTACCTACTGGGACCCCTGATTTGACACTTTCACTACTCTATGTCAGGTCTCCATCCTTTATCTCTCCATCCCCAAACCAAGATTCTCCTTCCCTCTCTTCTCTTACCCTACAGGACAGGGAGGTGCCCCGGACCCCGCGCGGGTCCCGGTCTGCTGTGAGCCCTCCTTTTTGACACCTCCGAGGACCCCCCGCCCCATTTTGTAGTCTCGGGTGGCTGCAGGCAGGAATGAAGGAACTTCACTGGTGGTCCCCGGGCGATTATCCTGCGCTGGGGACCAGCACGGTGGCCCTGGCACCCAAAGGCAGGAGGAGTCGGGTACAAACGTTCATTGATACAAATGAGTAAATAAACACGCCGGGTGAGCACGGCTACCTTCTCAGCGCCGGGTAGGCGTGCCTGTGTGAGGTGTGCGTGTGGCCCTGGGCCGCACCTGTGTGTCGGCCCTGCGCCAGTCCCACGTCCTGGAGCGAGGTTGTGCATCTGCCGGCTTGTGCTCTTTCTGTAGCTGTTTGTGGGTCTGTGCATCTATGCATCTGCCTGTCATTTGGCCTCTTCTCCTGAGAGCCCATGATGGAGCTATGCACACCAATCCCAACATCTGTCTGGATAGTGCTTGGCTTTTCCTCCTGCGTGCGTCCTGTTTATCCAGGCACCAGCGTCTCTGTCTCCCGTGTCTGGCACTCGCGGAGCAAAAGACTAGACATCCACCTTTAATTTAGGGTGGTGTGCATATAAACGAAACTAGACTTCCCCTTAAACTCCCCCCTGAACCCAGTATGGGTTCTTCTTTAGAGTTCACTATAAGAGAATGTGAGTGAGCATCTAAGATGCGCGCCTATGTGTTATCCCTCTCTGGATGCGCGCTTGCTAGTCTGATGCCGGCGGTGCGGAGCTGTTGCTACTAGTTGCTAGCGCTGGGTCACCTCGGCGCTCACTCTTTGCCCTGGAACCCCACCTGGTGGACAGTTATAGTACTACAGATTCAGGGGGAAGCAGTTCCCACTTCCCCTTCCCCAATGGCCTTCCTAATGAGAGATCAGCTCCAAAAGGTCTGCTTGTTGGCTCCCAAAGTCCTCCCGCCTAAGCACCTTCAGGCTCCCTCACCCGCAGGCCATTGGGGCTCAGACTCTCACGAAATTCCTGTGAGAACCTTCGTGGCACCAGAGAGAGAGAGAGCTGGGGAGTGCCCTCCACAGGACGGTCAAATCTGGACTGGACAACTGGGCAACACAAGCAATGAGGCCAGAGCTATTTCTTTCAGGTCAGATGAGGCTGGAAGAGGTTTCTGAGGCTCTGTCTTGAAGTGCTGAGAATCTAGCCAGATTCCCACCATTGCCTCAAAGTGGCAGAGTGGGCAGGCGGACACTGGGAAATCCACCGTGGAGACAGCCATTGGTGAACAGATGGACATAAACACAGCCACACAGGGATACAAACAGATGCCTAGGCAGATCCTGAGCACACACAAAAACACAAACACATGGAGGACGCCACAGAGTCAAAAAACACCTGCTTCCCAACCAACAACCTGAGTCCATAAGAGGTGTCTGCTATGTGGGCACCAGGGCCTCACACATTCCATTTGCTCCCCCCTTACTTCTTGGGATGGCCTTTGTGTCCTTTGTTCAACACTGCCTTGTTCTCCCTGCCCAGGTGTAAAGTGGGATTTGGCAGGGGAAATAGGAAAGAAATTCTGAGTCGTCCCTATTGCTTAGCTTCCAAGTGGGTTCTGGGCAATTTCTGCAGGGACATGCAGTCCCACAGTAACGGTTGCTGGATTCCCTAATTAGAACCATCTCTCTGCTCAAGTCCTGAAAAGTGCATAGGAAAAAATAAAAGGAAGGCCATGGTACTCTGTGAGAGTTCTGAGGTGAGAGCAAAGACTGGACTGTGGAGCAGGCTTGCTGAAAGGGCAGACAGAATGGGGGAAGACCAGCAACCATCTTTGCCAGTCAGATCCCATCAAAGGATATTCTTTCATTACCTTCAGGTGGACTTCTGACCCTGGCCCCAGACAGCCCTGATCCAGATCTTAGTCTGACCCATAACCCTGTCCTAAATCAGACCTTTGAGCCAAGTCCCAGACTGACCCATGATCCAGACTGACCTTGTTGCTGACCACAGACAAACATCACCCAGGCCTACACTTGACCAGAGAGTGTGTCTGGTCTTTCATGGACTGTCCCAAAATCTGAGGCTCTGGGAACAGGAATGGACTCAGATCAGAATATTTCTCTTGTTTTGGCCTGAAAATGATCTGGCTGTCCTAGAGGAGAATCCCCTAGGATGGATGTAACTAATATCACAGGAACTCCTGGGCATTTCTTCCCCATACCCCTTTCCTGGCCCAGGGCACACCCCAGGGCTTCAGCTTTTGTCTGCAGTGTTGTGAAGTGCCCTTCAGGCACTTTGAAATCAGTTAAAGCAGACTGGGAGATCAGTCAGGGGATGGTGCTTCAGTCTTATTTCTGCCTGTGTGAAATTCACAATGCTAGTGGAGAGGTCTGGGAGAATAGGAGGGCAGACCCTGGGCACTAAGAATAAGCAGACAATGGGCAAAGCATTTTTTTTTTCAGCAAGTACCTTAAAGAGCAGGGACAAGTCTACCAAAAGTCCTACTCCTCTCTAAGGCATGAAACTACCTGGACATGACATTCATCCTCAACTTCCTACATCTAAAGTAATGAGGACATTGCTCCTTCCTCCAAGTCCCTAATGATCTCTTCTCCAGTTATTATTTGATTTCATCTTCACATAGCGCTATGAGATAATATTGCTCTTAAGAATCAATTAAATACTACTTATAATATGTACATATCCTTATATTGTTACTTCTTGGTAAGAAATTGGGGATGGTCCTACTTCAGTATCCCCATTGTTTTGTCCTATTCTCTTTCCAACTTACCAGAATACATCCCCATGAGCCTTTAAGATCTGACCCCACACACAGCAGCTTCGCCTTTGTTTAACATCCTACTTCTGATGACTGAAGCCCACAATAGAGGGAGTTGTCAGCTTATGCTCAATTTTGTGTAGATTTGGTCCTGAATTTTTTCAGTGGATGCCTATTCATTTTTTTCTTAATTTCTCTCATTCTTCTGATCTGAGTCAAACAAAAACAAGGAAGCCCAGTACAAAGGCAGAGGTGGCTCCCTAAGTGTCCAGAGAGCAAGGGGACCAGCCACCGGGGAACAGAAGGCAGGACTGTGTACTCAAAGCAGACGGAGTCTCCCAACAGTACAGTCTAGCCTAAGAGACAAAGCTTGGGGTTCTGCCTCAGAGTTCTTTCTGCTTTCAACTGTATCCTACCTTACTGGTACTTTGATCCCTTGGAAAACTCAGTTCTCTGCTTTTCCTCACCATCCTGAGGGCCTTGGGCTGGTCCCATTCCATTCTAAGATCCCTTGATACGGTGCCCAACAGTCAGGACCTATTTCTGGCAAAAGTCCTGGGACAGCAGATCCTGCCCACAGCCATCTCCCAAATCAGAGCAGAAACGGCTACTCTGGCAGATCAGGAAGGCTCCCTTGACTTTTTTTTCCTTCTTTTGTACTAGGGATTGAACTCCGGTCCTTGTGCTGCAGAACCACCGAACTAAATCCCCAGCCTGCCCCCTTGACTCTTAATGGCACCTTGTAGCCCCAGATATTCATCCAATGCCTGTTTGCCTACCCTTTTCCCACTCAGTACCCTCCCTGCAGATCAGGCGCCACAAGGCTGGCAGTACCTTCCAGCATCCAATCCTCAAGGACAGTTTGGAGGACACTCCCTGATTGTGTTCTGTCTATTCTGAGAAGGGTTGGATCCCTGCTATCCAGGCTGGTTGGGGTAGGAGGGGTACAGCAATACAATATAACCCAGCTTGGCTTAGAAGTCACCACAGCGCCATAGATTCTGCCTTTCAGGAGTCTGCGGGGATAGACTCTTCCTCAATCACCCCCATCCCTTGCAGTTTCAGAGTCTCTGAGGCTGTTAGAGAATTTACTGGCCCCTTCGAAATTACCATCTGCCAGAATCCCACCCAGCCCACCCCCCTGTTTTGTGATACTATTCTGTTCTTTGCAATGCTACTAACTCCAAAGCTGGGTCCTGGATTGTGCATTTATTTCTAAAGGGCTTCCTTCTTTTTCTTTGTCCCTTACTGAGACTTTCTCTCACCCCACCCCCAAGTATCTTCTTATTCTTTTCATTTGTTTTATAGATAATGACCCCTGTCCAAACAGCTCTCTCTGGCAGAGCCAGATGCAAGGATGGCCTGAATCCTCATTCCCTGTTCCTGAGAGAGGACTGTCCGACTGACCAACTGGCTCACAGGCTAGGAGATGGCCCCTCGCCCACTCCTCTGCAGCCCTCTGGGAAGGGGGTGGCCCTTAGGAAAGAACTTTTCTGCTTTCTCGTTAGCCTGAATATAGAGCAAGTATCACCTCATACCTCATATCAGACATCTCAGCTTCCACACTTGCCCCAGAAGGATTTTTTTTAAGAAGTAGAAATATCCTCGTCCTCCTCCGTCAAAGCCCCCATACCCAGTCCTTCTCTTCCTGCCCCACTCCCAACCCAGCCCAAAGCAATCCAAAAGTGGACTTGCCAATGGAAGGAAGGAGGAGCGCAGCTGACAGCTGTGTCCAAATCGGCACTGCATGGAAAAGAGTAGTCTTCTGGGTAGCGATGGGACACCGGCAGTGCCCCAAGCTGGCTGTGGCTGGCAGGGACACTGCCGCAGCGATGGCGTTCTCTCAGGCCCAGGGAGCCAAGAGTCCTTTATAGCCTGAAACCTGCCCTGGCACCGCCCACTGGGCGGTTGCTACCAGGGCCTGCAACTAGGGGAGTCAATAGGAGCTGCGAGGGTATCTGTCCCAGGACCCCAGGCCAGGCCCCAAAGCACAAGAATCTAGGATTCAGCTTCCTTCTACCCCAGGCAACTCTAGATCCTGGGGGGTGTGTGTGTGTGTGTGTGTGTGTGTGTGTGTGTGTGTGTGTGTGTGTGTGTGTATGTGCGTGTGTGCGGGCGTCAGTGTTTAAACATCCATTCAAAGACCTCAGATCTCTTTCCCTCATCTTCTTTCTCTGGCAGTAACAGTTTTTGAAAGGATGGTGAGAGCAGTGTGTTTCTGCTCAGTTTATCAAATTACACTCAGTGACAAAGGACTGAAGTGCATTTTCTTGAAGGCTTGACAACTGGGATCCAAGAAGAAAAAAGAAAGGCATGATAGAGAACCCAGAGCTTTTGTGGAAGGTAAAACACTGATGTGAAAAGCGGGGGATATGGCTTGGTGGATGTAAGTGAATTCACCTTCATGCTGCCTGGTGTTAAAAACTGCTTCCCCCACCCTCCACCCAAGCTGTAAAAATCCCACGGATCCCAGAAATTGCCAGGTTGTTGATTTTTTAAAGGGAACACTGTTCATTTTTATACAGACTGAGTCAGACAGGGAGGAGTGCAGCCTTCTCCCCGCTGGACTCTGGAACTCCTCAGGGTG